AACTGCAACGTCATATATTTTGTAAATAGTTCATGAAATTTTTTATTTTAAAAAACGCAAAAAACTTCGGCAAATGGTTTTTTTGTGGTCTTAAAATTTCAAAAAAATACGAAAAAGGCTACCATGACAAACTGAACACAAGTGACCGAGTTTTTTTACTGGCAATTTACTGTTTAGAAGTTTTATAAGACAGACTGTGTCAAACCTGAACTTATACTTATATTTTGTGTTTTTGTGCTACTTATCAAAAATTTTAATCTTTAAACTTTTTGCACAATAGCACAAACCGTATCAGGAAAGGCTAAAAATTATTTTGTTAAAAATATTGTCAAGAAAGTTTTGTTTCCAAAGAAAACGCAGCAGGTTTTTCAAAGTTTTCTTTTTCAAATGTTTTTCAGTGTGTTTATCTGCCAAAAACTTTGCATGCTACATTCAAGCTTTTTAAAAGCGTTTCGGCAAAAAAAAACATTGACAAAAGACTTAACATTCTGTTTAAAAAAAATCAATTCGCCGAAGCGCTTTGTGCGCTTAAAATCAGAATATAGAATGCTATGTTTGCACTAAAACTAATTTAAGAAAAAAATTTCAAAAACGTTGGCGGTTTTTTTTTGTAAAAAAAACTTTTGCTACAATTTTTTTAAGAGTTTACACAATCTCATATTAGTTCAAGTTTGATGCACTGCTATAAAAATTTTACACACTAAATTAGCAATGAAAAAAAAGCTTTTTTACAGAAAAATTGATCACATGTATTAATTTCGTTCAGTAGACGTTATTTGTTTTCACATTTGGCAATCAGATTTTGTTATTAGAAATTTAATTACTGAGTTTTTCTATGAAACAGTTCCAATGTTTATGTTTCATAACAAGCGCGTAGTTTTCGTTCTTTTTGAGGACTAGTTCAGTTTTTATTCACGCTCTTAGGCTCCTATGCTTAAGTGTTTAAGCGTTCAAAACGAACGATCTTTTATCAATGTTCAAAACGAAAGACCTTTTTATCTAATCAGAGGGTGTTAGTTTGTTTTTCAAAAAATAGTCTGAAAATTGATTCAAGCTCAAGTAAAAGATATGGACCTTTTTCCATTTACCTCTTTAGCCTGATTTTTTTTTACTAATTGGAAGGGCACTTACTTGTTCTCAAACAGCAAAATGTAAATTGTGCACAAAACGTAGCTTGACCTATATTTATTATTTTTTTAAAATAAAATTTCGAAATCTTGTTGGACCAAATTTTACTTATCAACTTACTTTTCTGGCCCAGTCCTTTTTCAAAATTTACTTTTTCTTCGACTATCAGTTTTTTCGTGTTTCACTTTTTTTCTTGCTATATTGCCACATTGGCGGCTCAGTTAAGTTATTTGTACAATTCTTCATTTTAGGAAAATTAAAGTTATTATTTAAGAAAAAGGACCAAGCCTAAAATTTGAAAAAACTGCAACGTCATATATTTTGTAAAAAGTTCATCAAAATTGTTTTTTTTTAAAAAAACGCAAAAAAAATCGAAAAAAGGTTTTTTTGTGGTCTTAAAATTTGAAAAAAAAAGCTACCATGACAAACTGAACACAAGTGACCGAGTTTTTTACTGGCAATTTATTGTTTACAAGTCTTATAAGACTTTGTCAAACCTGCACTTTTATTTATATTTTGTGTTTTTGTGTTACTTCTCAAAAATTTTATTCTTTTAATTTTTGGACCATAGCATAAACCGTATCAAGAAAGGCTAAAAACGAATTGTTACAAAAATTGTAAAAAAAAGTTTGTTTCCAAACAAAACGCAGCAGGTTTCTCAAAGTTTTCTTATTAAAATGTTTTTCAGTGTGTTTACCTGCCAAAAACTTTGCATGCTACATTCAAACTTTTTTTAAAGCGTTTCGGCAAAAAGAAACATTGACAAAAGACTTAACATTCTGTTTAAAAAAATTCAATTCGCCGAAGCGTTTAGCGCGCTTAAAATCAGAATATAGTATGCTATGTTTGCACTAAAAATAATTTAAGAAACAAAATTCAAAAACTTTGGTGGTTTTTTTCGGAAAGAAAGCTTTTGCTACAATTTTTTTTAAAAGTTTACACAACCTCATATTAGTTCAAGTTTGATGCACTGCGATAAAAATTGTACACACTAAATTGGCAATAAAAAAGGCTTTTTTACAGAAAAGTTGATCACATGTGTTAATTTCGTTCAGTAGCCGTTATTTTTTTTTCACATTTGGCAATCAGATTTCGTTATTAGAAATTTAATTACCGAGTTTTTCTATGAAACAGTTCTACTGTTTATGTTTCATAACAAGCGCGTAGTTTTCGATCTTTTTGAGGAATAGTTCAGTTTTTATTCACGCTCTTAGGCTCCTATGCTTAAGTGTTCAAGCGTTCAAAACGAAAGATCTTTTTATCAATGTTCAAAACGAAAGATCTTTTTATCTAATCGGAGGGTGTTAGTTTGTTTTTCAAAAAATAGTCTGGAAATTGATTCATGCTCAAGTCAAAAATATGGACCTTTTTCATTTACCTCTTTAGGCTGATTTTTTTTTACTAATTGGAAGGGCAATTACTTGTTCTCAATCACAAAATGTAAATTGTGCACAAAACGTAGCTTGACCTACATTTATATTTTTTAAAATAAAATTTCGACATCTTGTTGGACCAAAGTTTACTTATCAACTTACTTTTCTGGCCCAGTCTTTTTTCAAAAGTTACTTTTTCTTCGACTATCAGTTTTTTTGTGTTTCTTTTTTTTTATTGCTATATCGCCACATTGGCGGCTCAGTTAAGTTATTTGTACAATTCTTCATTTTAGGAAAAATAAAGATATTATTACAGAAAAGGACCAGGCTTAAAACTTGAAAAAACTGCAACGTCATACACTTTATAAATAATTCATGAAAATTGTTTTCTTAAAAAAACGCAAAAAACTTCGGAAAAAAGTTTTTTTTGTGGTCTTAAAATTTCAAAAAAAAGGCTACCATGACAAACTGAACACAAGTGACCGAGTTTTTTTACTGGCAATTTATTGTTTAAAAGTTTTATAAGACTCTGTCAAACCTGCACTTTTATTTATATTTTGTGTTTTTGTGTTACTTATCAAAAATTTTATTCTTTTAATTTTTGGACCATAGCATAAACTGTATCAAGAAAGGCTAAAAAACATATTGTTAAAAAAATTGTAAAAAAGTTTTGTTTCCAATCAAAACGCAGCAGGTTTTTCAAAGTTTTCTTATTGAAATGTTTTTCAGTGTGTTTACCTGCCAAAAACTTTGCATGCTACATTCAAACTTTTTTTAAAGTGTTTCGGCAAAAAAAAACATTGACAAATAACTTAACATTCTGTTCAAAAAAATTCAATTCGCCGAAGCGCTTTGCGCGCTTAAAATCAGGATATAGTGTGCTATGCTTACACTAAAAATATTTTAAGAAACAAAACTCAAAAACGTTGGTGGTTTTTTTCGTAAAGAAAGCTTTTGCTACAATTTTTTTAAAAGTTTACACAACCTCATATTAATTCAAGTTTGATGCACTGCTATAAAAATTGTACACACTAAATTGGCAATGAAAAAAAAAGCTTTTTTACAGAAAAATTGATCACATTGTTAATTTCGTTCAGTAGCCGTTTTTTTTCACATTTGGCAATCAGATTTCGTTATTAGAAATTTAATTGCCGAGTTTTTCTATGAAACAGATCTAATGTTTATGTTTCATAACAAGCTCGTAATTTTCGTTCCTTTTGAGGAATAGTGCAGTTTTATTCACGCTCTTGGGCTCCTATGCTTAAGTGTTCAAGCGTTCAAAACGAAAGATCTTTTTATCTAATCAGAGGGTGTTAGTTTTTTTTCAAAAAGTAGTCTGAAAATTGATTCATGCTCAAGTCAATAATATGGACTTTTTTCCTTTTACTTTTTTAGGCTTAAATTTATTTACTAATTGGAAGGGCACTTACTTGTTCTCAAACAGCAAAATATAAATATAAAAGGTAGCTAGACTTACATTTATATTTTTGTTATAAATTTTCGAAATCTTGTTGGACCAAAACTTACTTATCAACTTACTTTTCTGTGGGCATCTTTTATAAACATCAAAAGAAAATAAAAGAAATTATAGAAAATATTTTGCCTCTCATTCGGTTGACTTTTTGGCATATCAGTCGCGTTATAAAAACAAAAAAAAATGAAAATTACTTAGTTTTTTATTCAAGTTGATCCATTTTTTCAATAGTCGTGGACGGAAATTTATGTGTATGTTCACACAACCGATTTTCAGAACAACTGAACCATCAAATTGAGAAAGAATCACTTGTTCGCCTGACAAGGTTTATCTGATCACTTTTTATAATTTTTAATTTGGCGGTCCTTGGCCATTCAGTTTTCAGTAGATACAGTTTTGTCGACACATTTTTTTGATAAACGCATCAGTGTAATTTTATCAGAATGCCCTATAATGAGATTTATTTGAATTAACAAGGACTGAGATTAAAATTTTATTTGGGGAATGTTCTGCCATTTGGGGCAATTTGTAAGCATAGTTATGTCTCACGAGCTGAAAAGACTAAAAGGTTCCTCTCAGGGGCGGATTTAGGGGGGGGGGGGGGGGCGGACGCCCCCCCCCCCTCAGGGATTCGACCCCCTGCCGACCCAAAGGGTCCCCCCTTTGATACTTTTTCAGAAATCCATTTTTGGCCGACCGACCCTAAAATTTTTCTAAAGGCACCTTTGGCGCCAATATATACTAACTTTGAGGAGCGCGCGCCAAAAAAACGCGATTTTTTTGTCAAAATTTTTCAAAAATTGCCCAAAAACGGCTTTCTTGACTGTTTTTTCAAAAATTTGCCTGCGGCGCAGAAAATATAGCCAAAGTAGGGGCAAAACAGTGCTTTGGGAGACCTCGAAAAATCAATTTGGTCGACCTAAAAAAAAAAAAGGTCGTCAAAATTTTGGAAAATTTTTTGAAAATCCGCCCCCCCCCCTCGAGAAAATCCTAGATCCGCCCCTGGTTCCTCTAGTTTCTTTCATTTCGTATGTTGTATTAGTTTAAGTGAAACAGCCGTTTTGTCACAAAATTGACAGAAATGAGTACCAAATTCGTAATACTGCTCTGAATTGTATCAAAATGTGGCATAAAAATTTTAATTAGGACACATCAATTGATAAATTTACATCGGATTCAAAGCAATCCTTATTTTCAGTTCCAGGCGAGGCGCGAATCTTTTTAATTGAAATACTCTCTCAGCTCTGGTAGTTTTGGCGCCTCTCATCATAAGATCATTTTAGCTGGCTCTGGAAGAAAAAAGGAACCATGGGAAACTATTTGGAAACTTCACTCGCATTTTCTGTGACATTCAGTGTTGGGTCATCTGAAACAATAAACATATCTAAGCTGTTCTCAGCTCTTAAAGAAGTAGTCAACAATATGATAGGCAGTGTTGTATAATTAAATGAATGAATTAATTGAAATTTTTGCCCTGAATATGCACTCCTATATAAGGTCCTTGTAAAGACCACTTGCTTAAAACTGAACTTATTTATTTTTATTGCGGGAATTAGGGAGCAAGCTAAAATGTTTCTTTCCAAAATTAACTTTTTCCACTAAAACGTCAATTTTGGCCTTTTGTGCCTGTATTGTAGAAAACTTTTGCAAAATAGGCACTGCATAAGGTTTTGGGAGAAGTCGGCGAATGAATTTGAGTGGCGTGGAAAAAAGTTGAGAAAATGGCTCTTTTTCCTTTTCTTCCCCACCTGCAATTTTTTACTAGTAAAGTTAGTGTTCACATTGTCCGATCATTATAAAAATTGACATGCGGACTAATTAGGATGTGCCAAACACATTTGGTCTTCATATTTAACCTTGTAAAACCACTCGTTACACCATAAAATTGATGGTCGTGGGAGGTGGGGGTGGGGGGGGGGGGTGGGGAAGGAAAAAGAGCTGAGAAAATTTCCTGAGATCCCAAATCTAGATTTTTCATCAATGTCGAATGTTTATATTGTCCGGGGCCAGAAGCATGCTTTTACCTGTTGCGTCCGTTGGGTTTGAAGGGAGGTCTGTCGTCAATAGGGATTATGGCGGTAGTTCCATTGAGCACACCTCCTCCTAATGTGACATGTGTCGAAGAGTGTTGCAGGAATTGTTCATGTCTCTTCCGCTCTCTCCACTCATCAAACTTCCTCCTAATCAAGAACTAGATTTAAATAGTTGAATCTGAAAACTGATAACAAAAATCAATTTGAAAACCGAAAATGACTACGGAAATTGAAATATTAGATCAGTTTTACCCTTTCCCACCCCCGCCCCCTCTAAATCCGCCCCTGATAAAGATTTATTAAACTAATTTGGTTGAAAAAAAAGCCTGAGGCGCAGAAAATTTTGCTGCAAACGGTTATTTTAAGGTTTCTACGGGGCTTGAAATAGAAATAGCTGGCCTAAAAAACATCGGCAAATCCCCCCCCCCCCCATGTGAAAAACTCCTGCGCTCGCCGGCACTGACATTACGACAAAAGGAGAGCTGCCGTGAGATGAGTGATATAATGGGGGGATACCTGCTCTCTTCCTCCTTGTACTTCTTCTCCTCCTCGTGCTCCTCCTCCTCCCTCTTCTTCTGCTCCTTCTGTCTACTCCGCTCCTCCCTCACCAACTCAGTCTTCCTCTTCTCCCTAGGAATCAGAGCAAACAGAAACCATTCACTCCATCAGTCGAAACAACCAAAAGAGCAGAGCATCGTTCACATATTCACAACAAATGTGTTGACACATTAGGTCATGACAAAACAGCGTGCTTCAGGGCAAAGCCTTGAAGGCTTAGACTACTGTCTTTGAAATGTTCCAAATAGTAGTTCATATGTCAAAAACGGCAACAAATGATAAAGTTTTTGGATTTTTCTTTGAAAATCTTCACATTTAACGACTCTATCGAAAGCACGATAACGTATCTTTTGCATCTCGTATTGCATTAGTTAGACTAAATAGAGCGCTGATTTACACTAACCGGACAAAACGAACAAATTGGAAATTTTAAATATCCTCAGCCCTAAACCGGCCAACTTTAAGGCTTCTACCCAAACATTGCTTTTATATGGAAACTTCTTAGCTCTTATAGAAAAATTCACAGTTCGCGCAAATAATCGATCGGATCTTGTTAAATATCCCCCCTATGGTACCTTGTTAACTATCCCCCCCCCTCCCCCCATTGCAATAGGGGGGGGGGAATAATTAACAAGATCCAAATAACCCATCGAAGCAACTCCAATACCGAAAGAAACAAATCGAAAAAGTTAAGTTGTTCGCCGAAACACATGAACAGTGGACAATCCTTCATCTAAAGTGATTCATCACATTGTATATGTCATGTACTAACCAACTTTCGAACGCCTGTTGTGGCGTCATCTCTGTTAACTTGGTCTTGCCATGATGAGCAGATAAGGCACCTTTTCTGGTTTTGTCTCCCCCTCCCCCACTCGCACTCATAGCCCTCTTACTAGTACTATGTCCGCCCACCTTCTTGCCCCCCGCTTGCTCCTCTTGTTTTTTCTTCTCCTTTTCTCGCTGTCGAATATTTGGAATATTTGTTACAACTATTATGAGTCACTAACTAATTAACTTAAATACGATTGACAAAATAACTGATATCAGTTTGAGGGTTTTTCGTTAAATTATTGTTAACAAAAAGAAACCTTTCAATAGTCAATTACAATATTTGACAAACATTTCAAAATTAATCAAACTGAAGCTCGAATTGGCATTTATACAAAAGTCAGCAAAAAATGGTACAGATTTTTCTAGACCGTTTTTTTTTTACCAGCACAAATTGTTTTGGAACTTTTCATTACAGCTCGTTTCAATGTGATATATCACTCGACCTCGTCTAACATCTTTAATTTGACAGATCTGAACATATTTTGAAAAACTATAGACTAATAAGTTCTCTCACGAATACGTGGTCGTAACAAAAAAAAAACTTGATAAAAAGAAGAAGAGATTTGAGTTAAGTACGGATGACTATACTCATAGAGTAATTTCAGATACCGTCTGCTCGTCACGCTATCTTATTTTCGGCCGGATAGGTTCGTGCAACTTCTTAGTCTAATACCAATCTTAATCTTACTCTTATATCTCCTAGTCTCAATAGATCTAGTGTACACCGGTTTACGCGAGTTAGTTCCAGAATGAGAACAACTGTATGCTAAGTTTAATTCAAACTCTTCTGGTGTTGAAACTTCAAGTAGTTTCAACACTTGCAAATAAGTGGGTTGTTAGTTTGATGGAGTATGATTGGTTAGTATTTAATATTTTATAGAGATAAAATATCATAATAATAACCAATGATAAATACTAGTTTAGATCTGGTTCCAGATAATCAATTCACGGATCAATTGAGCAATATCGGTAACACACCAAGCAAAAACGACAAGACGCTTCAAAAGATGTCACTAAACCAAGTAGGTGGTTGATTTGTTCACAGCACGCAATCAATTGATCGACTGAAGTTCATTTTATATGGGTAGCGAGAACAAATTTTGAAAAAGAAGGAAATCGAAATTCATAAGAAATTTTGTTTTGCAAATGTTTGTTTGGGGGACTTTTGCCTCTCATCGATGAAAGCAAGTTACCAGGGTTGGTGCTCTAGCCTTGTATCTGAAAATCAAAAAGTTTTCTCCTGAGTACCTTAATAATGTACGCCATAGCATTTTTTTCTTTTAGGACAGAAAAAATTAGCTTCGTGTTCCTGTTTTATTAATTTTTAAAAATTTTTACCATTTATTTTATCCTTGAAAACATTGGCTTATAGCTGATAAAAACAATTGAGCATTGCCAAGAATATACAGATTGAAAACAATCCGTTTTAACCAAGTTAAAATATACTTTTCAACATTTACCTGTTCCTTTTGCTGTTTTTGCTTGTTCTCCTTCCACGTTTCAAATACACTCAGCTTCTGTTTCTCCTTGTCGGCAGATTCTCTATCCTGCGCTCTTTTCTTTTCTAATTCTGCTTGTCGTCTTTCTTTCGCTTTTCTCGCCAACACCGCGTCTTTTTCTTTTTTCCATTGGTCAAACAGTTGGTCACTCTCTTTAATTGCCTCTTTTTTCTATCAAAAATACTAACTCTTTTAGAAACTAAGGCAATATAAACAAGACTGCGAGAGGCCCTGAATGTTCCGACAGCACTTTAAGACCATATAAAAGGTTTTTTGGATGAACAATTGACAAAAAAAATTTTTTTTTTTACTTTTTCTTAATTATATGAATCACACGCTATGTATGTTACCGAAGGGTGTGTTAAGCGTCTGCTAATGTTTTAAACGGACTAAATTGTCGGACTCAATTCAATTTGCAACGCATTAATCCGTAGTTTATCGTGACTGTACAAAACAGTCCAATACAAAACAGTAGTTATACTAAAAAGTTATACCAAATTCTAAAAAAAAACAGTTATATACACAACAGTCCCAAAAAACCCATAAATCAGTCCGAAAAACAATCCCATTGATAGAAGTGCTAATTGATCCAGAAACTGGTAAGAAAAATTTGGTTAAGACTAATCCGGATGATAATAGATATTACAGCACAGATAAGTACTATCTAAACATCAGCAACATCCAATCCTTAAAAGCAAAAAATCCGCGAAACACATCGCGCGTAACTTATAACAAATTGACCAAATTAGCAAATTTCAAACCGCGTAACTTTACAGAAAAGGATCAAAGCTCACAGATTAAATATCTTTTTGAATTTGAGTATTAAGTTTACTTCTTTCAGATGATATAGAAAAATTCCGTCAGAAATGTTTTTCGTTATGAAATCAAAAACTGACTGAATCAAATAAAATTCCCA